ACAAAACTTTTCTATCTCATATAGATGTACAGTTGTCACATTTAGTAATATACTAAGATTTAGTAAGTAAAGATATAAAATGTCTAGTTAAATTTGAATTTTAGATAAACAAAAAATAAAATTACCCAACTCCATCTGCCAACTGACCTGTTTTCAGTCTTGCCTTTGATATCGTCAGTAGTATCTCCTCTAATATCAATATTTATTTGAAACAGCTATTTCAACCTGAATGAATGAGAAATATTCAAAGAAATTAGTCCCTGTTACATATAACCCGGTTCTCATGTTGACTACTCATGTAGTCCAGCTTATCAAGCTGTTCCACTATGACATCTCCCAAATCAACTAACTACATGTCATGTATAAACGCAGACTCCTGGTCTCCATTCCAGACTTAGCTAACCAAATGTCTGCGGATAAAACTTGTACTTAAATCTCTGTAGGGATTTTCTTCTTTCCTATCTCCCTCTTTCCTTGTTCTTCCTTCCTTTCCACCCATTCATCCTACCAGACTTTTATTATATTCAGTGGTAAATAGGTTTAACTATTAAAGTCATAAAGGCAAGCATGCAAACCATGCAGTTGGAACCTATTGACATCTTTTTCTTAAAGGATTTATTTATGCATGCAGAACTGGGCACAGGCCAGAGGTACAGGGGCGGTGAGAGGATTTACCAGACACAGAGTGGGAAGCAGAACAAGCAGACTGATGAAGTACACTGCTGAGGGGAGCAGTGGGCGGGTCAGGAGAGTCTGCAGCCCCATATGGATCACCTCCCGGCCAGGCGGGGATAGAACTCATGCAGAAGTGGCTTTAGTTTCTTAGTGCTGTGCTTTAACCTGCTGGCCACCAGGGAGGGCCTATTGACATCTTCTAACAGTGTGCTAGTGATTATTTATCCTTTATCTGGGGGAAGAAAAAAGACATTTAGTGTTTTTTTCTGATATTAAGCTTTATTATGGAAACATTGCAAACATATACAAAATTAGAGAACAATATATAAATCCCTATATATTCATTATCCAGCCTCAAAATTACCAACATATAGTTAGTCTTGTTTTATCTAATTGGTATTCCCTCTCCCATTTCCCAGATCCTTTTAAAGCAAATCCCAGAAGATTGTTAAACTCTTTCAACTTGAGATCCAGAACTTTATGTCTGGATTTTCTGTTGTGCTTAAAGTACTTTCCATTCCAAAATGTTTACTTGTTTCTTCCTAGCTACTACATATATAAGCTCATTTTCTTTGGTTATTGATCTCAAAAGTTTAAAGTTTATTACTCTTTAAATAAAACAACAAAACCCCAAACTGGAGACATTGGGTGTAATGCAAAAAAAAGTTACCTGACATAACTTCGGAAATTTTTCAAGTTATCTATTCTTTTGTTACTCCAGCCAACAGAACTTCATACTAGGACTTTCTTATATGTTATTAATGGCTACCAAAATTCTTAATGTTCTCCATTCAGACTACTTGATGTTCAGATTTGATATAATCTCAAGTGAATCCAATTAGTTAAAGAGGGAGATTTGAGATGCATTTAGGTATGAGCAACAGATAATTAAAAATACTAACGCTTTGAACATGAGAAGAATTAAGTATCATTGAGGCAGAGAGGCCTATTGCTGAAGATAACTAGTCTGACTCACTTTGCTGATTGACTCCACATCTAGCCACAGTCCCTTAATCTCCTATCTGTAAAATATGGAAAGCAGTAGCATTTACCTACCACACTGTGTAGAAAAATGAGACTTAGACTTTGATCTTCATTAATGAAGTGAGCTGCCTAATTAGTTGAGTTTCTTTTAATTGTTCTTAATCTTTATCTTGAAGTAATTAATCCTTGGTAAATATTCTCTTTCACTTAGAGAATGGGAAAATAAAAAGCAAGGCCTTCTACTTTAAGGTTTTTTCTTTTTTTTGAGATTTATTTATTTATGCATACAGAACTGGGATATAGGTCAGAGGTACAGGGCCAGTGAGATGGTTCACCAGAGACAGAGCAGAACAGGTAGACTGACAAAGGACACTGCTGAGGGGAGCAGCAGGCAGGCGAGGCAGGAGAGGTCTGCTGTGCCATGTGGGTCACCTCCCTGGCCAGGGATTGAACTCATGTTGCAGTGGCTGTAGACAGCTTCATAGTGCTTTAACCCATTGCACCACCAGAGAGGGCCCTATTTTGAGTTTTACTATTTGTCAAATATTGTCAGATAGTTCAGCTTTGAGAAAAATTCATAGTATTGATTAAAATCATTTTAAAACAGGACCCTCTCTGGTGGCTCAACGGGTTAGGGTGCAGCACTGTGAAAGAGCAGCAGCTGCTTCAGCGCGTCTAGGAGGAAAAGAGCAAAATCAAAATCAAGATAAACAGTGCCATAGTGGTGACCCTCCCCACGGGTCTCACACACAGCAGTTTCAACCAGTCCAGGACCAAGAAACAAGCGCAGTTTCTTCACGTCTCTCTGGTCCTGTGTCTTCCTCAGGTCACTTTCTTGCTCTCCATCCAGATTCCTTCCTCCTGTCTCCTCTCTAGATTCTTCTCTTCTTTGCTCAGCTCCACCCTCCTTTTGGGGCAGGGAACCTGGAATCTCCCCATTACCTGGGGATGGCCCTGTTATAATTGAGTTCAATCCTCAGCCCAAAGTGACCCACAAGGCGCAACCGACCTCTCCTACCCAGCCTGCTGCTCCCCTCAGCTGTATAGTTTGTCGATCTGCCTGTTCTGCTCCCCAGAGAGTAGAACTGGTGACTCCTCCTGCCATCCCTGCACCTCTGGCCTGTACCCCAGTTCTGTATGCATAAGTAAATCTTAAAAATAATTTAAAAACATACAATTCAGTATTTTTATTATAGTCAGAATATGCAATCCCCCACACCACTAATTCTACATTTCACCTAGCCCCTAACCACTGACAAAATTCTGCTTTTTTTTTTTTTTTAAAGATTTATTTGTGCATACAGAACTGGGGTACAGGCCAGAGGCTCAGGGGCGGTGAGAGGCTTCACCAGAGACAGAGTGGGGAACAGAACAGGCAGACCGACGAAGTAACACTGCTGAGGGGATCAGCGGGCGGGTCAGGAGAGGTCTGCCACACCATGTGGTCACCTCTGGGGCAGGCGGGAATTGAACTCATGCGGAAGCAGCTTTAGATTCTCAGTGCTGTGCTTTAACCTGCTGCACCACCAGGGAGGGACCCAAAATTCTGCTTTTTTTAAATAAAAAAGGACTTGATTATACTGAACATACAAAAAATGTTTTGTGACTAGCTTCTTTAATTTAGTATAGTTTTCAAAGTGAATAGTTTATTGTATGACTACACAACTATTCATACATTGTTAATGGATATTTGGGTTGTTTTCTTTTTGGTTATTATGCGTAAGTCAGCCTTGAACACTCATGTACAAGTTCTTGTGTGAACATGTTTTCTTGGTTACATACCTAGGAATAGAAAAGCTGGGTCACAGGACAAATATGCTTAACTTTTAACTGCCAGTTTATCTTTTGAAGTGGCTATACCATTTTGCATTCCAACCAGTAATATATCAGGGTTCTAGTTATCCACATCCTCACCAACTTATTTTCCATTTTGTTTAAAATTAGTCATTCTAGTATGTGAAATACTATCTCAATTTGGTTCCAATTTGCATTTTCCTAATGAGTAATGATGAGCATGCCCTCATGTGCTTATAGTCATTTTTTTTCTTCTTTGGACAAAGGTCTATTTGGACAAAGGCCCAATTTAAAATTGATTTGTCGTTTTAATGTTAAAATAAGAGTTCTTTACAACTTCATGGAAAGATCATACCATTGTTAAAAATTAAAGCCAACACAGAACTAAGTGCTGACAGAGGCAAAGCTGTGTCACAATGATCTATTTTGAACACTTGGATGCATCCATGTATAATCAGACTTACCTCCAAGAACTGTGGCTTTATGAATGAATACATTCTACAGGCTGATCTGGCTAAAATAATGGAAGGATGACCTCCCATGACAGGTTCCTTGTAAGATGGACCTTTCCCCCCATTATTATTTTTGTGAATACTGGGATAAAATGTAGGGGAGAGCTGAATGATGCCTGGCACAATTAGAAGTGCCATTCCTAACCTCCAGAAGGTCCCTGGCAGAAATTTTAGAGCGCCCAGAAGTTTGACAACCTCCATCATGCTTATAAATGCCACAATCTAATTTTTTTAAAGGCTTATTTATTTATGCACATAAAACTGGGGTACAGGCCAGAGGTGCATGGGGTGAGAGGATTCATCAAAGACAGAGTGGGGAGCAGAACAGATAGATTGACTGAAATCCACTGCTGAGGGGAACAGTGAACAGGTCAGGAGAGGTCTGCATACCATGTGGGTTACACCTCCCTGGCCAGCAGTCGAACTTGTGCTGCAGTGGCTGCAGACAGCTTTATAGTGCTATGCTCAAACCACTTGCACCACCAGTGAGAGCCCAATGCCACAATAAAAAACTAAAGCAGCAAAGTAAAATATAACCAATGATGACAGACAATATAGAACCCCTGCGTTATGCATAGGTGCCATATTTAGGAGTTGTGTAATTTATGTTAATATTGGCTATTTTCCAAAATACTTCCCTATATATTATTGTCCCAAGGTTGCCGAGATGGTTCAGCCTACCTGGCTTTAAAGATTAAGTGCTACTGGATATTTAAATATGATGAGCTCAAAAGCAGAGAGGACTCACCATATGAATCCGAACAGGAGAAGCTGATGAAAAGTAGAGAAATTAGCAGTGGTATGTAAGACTGATGCACACATGCCCTCTTCAGAACATTCATGAGAGATTAAATATTTTTCTAAGTAAAAACTAATGACACTGTGGTAAGCAGAACAAACCTAAGATACGATATTTGCCACCAAAGTGCTTCTACACACTATAAGAAGAGATGTTTGATCACAACATTATGGAGATACAGTAATTGTAATACCAGATGCTTCAAAGGGGAAGAAACATATGAAGAGGCAAAAACAGAATCTGTAAGTTACATTTATTGAATATTTACTGGGTATATCACGTATAAAAGATAGGGGCAGATAAGAACTTAAAAAATTAAATATACACTTAAAAAATTAAATATACACATTAATTTTACCACTAACTCTAAATACTAGGTAAGTACAAAATTTGTACAAGCTATACATGTACTTCCAATGTCTGTCAAAAGCACAAACTATACATACAATGTAATAAAAAAAATCTGTGCTTAATATCATAGAATTACCCTAAAATGGGTTAATAAAATGCCAATACAGCATTCATTCATTTATATACACCTCACATTACAGATCACTTGAAAACCATAAATACTCTGACCCCATTGCTAGAAATCTACGGTCAACAACTACAGTCATAGTTCCTCTAAGAAGCACAGCATTTACAGTCTATTTTGCCTTTAAAATTCACCTTGATTTCAGCTTAGCTTACTATTAGGTTCTCTTCAGAATTATTTAAATCTCTTTTGTCTGATCATCTTCTTCAAGTTTTCTAATTTCATTTTTTAAACAATTGATAGTTTCACGACTTGCTTTTAATCTCTCCTTAAGTTCTGCAATTTCAAAGCTTGTTTTTTTTTTTGCAGCTTCTAATTTTTCTCTGGTTTTCACTTCAAGTTCTGCAACTAAGGAAAATAAATTCATTTATTGAATAATTTCATTTTTCTCACATGTCTAAGATATGTCACAGAGTAGTAAATACAGCATTATCTTAGGTCAATGTTTCCATGATAAAATATAAACAACTTAACATATATAACATTAAACATGGTGGTGGGATTGGGTAAAAAAGCTTGAACACCCAGGAGAGGATCTAAGATATTTTCAAAAACTAAGAAAGAAATTCTGGTCACTAATATTTTAACTCATGATTAAGATTTAAAGATAGAACATTCTAGTTTCTCTCCATATACATATTAGCTTAGAAATAAGGGGGCATACAATCCAAGAGATATTCAACTAATTGTTAATTATAGTATTAAAGATAGTAATAAAAATCTAGATTTGAAATCAGATCTACCACTTATCAGCTGTGACATTCTTAAGTTATTATTTCTATGCCTATTTCCTCATTTATAAAAGAGAAACAAGAAAACACCTCATAATATTATTTGTTGATAAAATTCAAGTGAATGAATGCATACAAAGTATCTAGAATATTGCCTGGTATGTAGGAACATTAAATATATGTAAAACATTCTATACTGTACTTATACAATAACTAACAAAAATATAATCACTACAAAGTAGGCTATCTCTTTTAAACAGTCTGTTTGGGTAGTTTTTAAAAAACGCCTATTTTCATTCAATATTTCTGTCTTGTGGTTATTTCAAATAACTGTGGGTTATTTGTGGGTGACTATTAAAAGCATAGTTGTGCATCTGCTAATTGGAAGAAGCATGATTTGTCTAAAAAAAAAAAAACTAAACTAAAAACTAAACCTTTGACATCAGAAACACTTGAGTTCAAATACGCTCTTAGCGTTCTACTAGCTGGTATCTTTAAGTCTCCTTGAATCTTTTTCTACATGGTAAGGTTAAGACTGTATTTCTCAAAAGATTAGCATATGTAAAGCACCTAGCACATAAACATGAAAAAAACACTAATGAGGACTTTTCTTACTTTGCTCAAGCTGGTGATTTTTTTGTGATGTACTTTGTAACACAGGTAAATTTTTATATTGTCAAAACAATCCATATCTATGTTTGTAATTTCTTTCATTGCTTATTCTAATTATTTTTAAAAGTAGTAAGTACATACATATGATACAAGATTAAAAGGCTGAAAAACATATAGAAAACATGTTTTCTTATACCCCTGTCCCTCCAGCCCACCCATATATATAATTATGTGTGTCCTTTTATGTGACTTCTTTTAAGTTTCTAACTTCTTAGTCACTACTCTTTCTTCCAGCAAATATATTTTTCATTTCATCAGTGCTTTAGCTCCAGAATTTTCTTTTGAAAATTTCAGCTTCAATATCTTTGATAAAGAACTATGCTTCATTAATTTTATGAAATGCCTTTCTGAGTTTTGAAAAACTTACTGCATTTCTTCATAACCGTTATTTTTAATTCTTTATCAGCTATATTGCACTATCTTTAAGGTTGAATGCTATAGGAATCACTATTTTCTTTTTGTGACACCACATTATCTGTTTTTCATAGTATTTGATGATATGCCCTTTATTTTCACACCTGAAATAGCAACTGACTTATGTAATTAAGAATTTGAATCTTCCAGTTCAACAGGCAGTCAATAGAAAGTCTTTTGTATTCCAGAAGGTGGCACTAGAGCTCATTTTTTGTCTCTTCTGTATAGCTATCACTTAAAATCAGGCAAAAAAAAAACCCCAAAATCTTGGCAGCACAGTCCCGGTGGGTGTGGGTTTAGTACGTGGGACTCTGGAGCTACCCACAACCAGAAGGATCTTCCAATTGGTGACTCCAGCGGACCAAGGGCTTACATATTCAAACCTCTCTTATAAGAAACACTGAAAGGATCTCTCCTAGTGAAAAGTTATGCTTAAAGTTATTAGGGAAAAGAAGACAAACAGTATTTCAAAGGCTGACTACTTTTTTTAAAAGTAGTCCTACTTTGGATACAACTAAAACATGCCTCTTACATGTTCTATACTAATATATAATTTTTTTAACTCTTAAAATTTACCTATTTACATTATTTAAAAAAATGTAACAGTTAAGTCACTAATGGTACAATCTTCTCACCATTACAGAATACATTATTTTTCAGAGGTAATTATGAACTCATGCACTTACATTCTGTTTCATGCTTATAGGCTCCTAGTGTGAGCTGACGAGATGTTGTTAATAATTGTTGCATCATTGCTGTTGGGTCTTGAAAAATCTAATGGCATAAATGAAAAAAGAAAAAAGCTACTAAATTCAAAGCTCTACAAATTAATATGCTTTTAAAACTTATTGTAAGACCTTCTTACCATTTCATCATAGAATTCTGAAACCACTGTCTTTTTCCCCAGCATTGCATTGGTGTCCGACTGAAACAGCTTTAGTAAATGATACAGGGTGACCTGTGAAATAAAAAGACATCGTATCTGTGGAATGGTTCTCATCACCACTGTGAGACAGTATTGTTTCTGTAACTGAGAGACTGGGATAAGTAAAATTGCAACTACCACTTAATTTGGCAAATCTCCCAAACTCCCCATACTTTTATTTTCCAATGAGGTATCACCATCCATTTATATCAACTTAACATAAACATTTTAAAGAGGGTATGTGAGGATCTGTTAAAGCATCTCTATTGAGTTATATATAAAATGGAACTTATATTTTATATGATATATATAACTATGTTATATTTTATATATTAAATATAACTATGCAGCAATGGAAATTAATTGAGAAAACACCAAGACATGAACTTTTATTTACACACTGAAACTAGATTAATTTGTGAAAGCTTTCTGTGAAGATTAAACTTTACAATTTAATACAATAGGAGAAGAAAACATTTAAATTTTTTCAAAAAGAACAATCACTTAAAATAGTGAAGGCAAGATAAAATTTCTTTGGTGTAGTATAAGTAACATAATAAAGAAACAAAAAAGTCGGTCAGTGGTAATTCATTTGGCAAGAGCAACATGTCTTCAAAAGACTTAAAAACAGGTAGAGTAAGACATCAAAGAAAAGCTTTGCAGCACAATGTGTGATAACTTGAACAAAATAAAACCTAGCTGGCAAAACATCAGTCTGCAGGTTTTAGTTGGAAAAACCAACTCACACACCTCAAAGAATTTTCCAGAAAGTTAGCTAAAACTATAAGGAACATGCATGACATACCACACCAAAAGCAGGCAGCTTGACAAATTTCTGAAATAAACAAAAATCAGGAGACTAGACGGATAGACAAACCACACAGAGAAATTCACAACCTGAAAATTAAGGAAGAACTGTATGTGAGGTGGAGCCATGACATCTAGTGGAGCCTGAGAGCTCCAGCTCCAAATGAGCAGATATAGAAACTCCCTTGTACTTCCCTTCACTCTTAGAAAAGCAAGTCTATCCTCCTGTGGAAACAGAATTTTTTACTCAAATAGTGAAAATGTATTGTCAGATAGCAATGGCTCTGAAAGCTTTTTCTCAAGAATCTTTTCTGAAGACCTTCCTCCAGCAAAATGTGATCTAATTTAGCAACAGGACCTTTGCAAATGTGATCAAGTTAAGAGGAAGTCATCAAGGTAGGCTATCATAATCTAGTAAGACTTGTGTCTTCACAAGAAAAAAGAGACACAGAGATGGGCAGAGAGCATGCAATGATGGAGGCAGCAGTCGAAGTCAGGCTATCGCAAGCCAAGGAACACCTGGGGCTACAAGAACATATATAGTGAACACTTTTTGATTTTGGACTTGTAGCCTCCAAAGTTAGCCTCGGGAACATAAGAAAAAAGTTTTTTGTTTTAAGTCAATTACTGTATGGTAGTCTGTTATGGCAGTCCTAGGGAGCTTGAGGCTTGTAATTGAAAACAAATGATGTGCATATCTATTTAAAAAGTAGACTACTATTAAAAAAAAAACTTAAATTATATTATAAACCTATCTGTCTCTAAGTTTAATATTCAGACTCCCAAAGACATTCATGCAGACATGGGCAATGAAACATTTCATATTTCCTTAGTTTACAAAGAGTAGATTTTAACACTTGTCTTATAATGAGGTCACATGACATAATTTCTTTCAGAGATGTCTTTTTAATGCAGGTGGGGGAAAAAGCAACAAGTGGGGAAAGAGAAAGGCAGCATATTCAAAACAAAAAGAATTTCAAATAGTATTACAAAATTAAAAAGAAAAAGCTACCACTAGTGGCTTTCCCTTCTCTCACACATCTGCTGAATTTTGTGCATTATTCTCCCTGGTAGACTATTCTTGTTAAGGATAGGAGCAGTGCTTCATCTTTATATCTTATCCCTTGAACAGAACCTGGCAAGCAACAGATACTGAATAATTCTTGCCAAATAGAATAGAATGTCTATGGCAGTATTCCAGAAGATCAACAAAATGGTAGTAGATCTGTATCACAAGAAAAATATTTAAATAAGCTGTGGATGTTTATTCAGAAGAAAATAAATGTATAAGCAGTTACCAGTAAAAAATTGATGGAAGCTTAACATAAAGGAGATTCCATAAAACTAGAACTATCCCAAATCTAAAAAGAGGATGTTAAACTTAATAATGAAAGTCAAAATATTCTTCATGCTAAAGATATGCAAGCCCAAACTAGATTCTCATTTTGAGAGACTGCCTGAAAGAATTCCTACATAGGAAGACCATGGTTTAAACCAATGCAAATTGACTATGTAGCAATAATCCGGTGTTGATCCCTCTTTACAGGCCTAACAGACTCTGCAGTGTTGGTGGTACAGTGGTGAATGTAGCTGTCTTCCACATGGACAGACTCTAGGTGGTGGGGGTCTCAGGAGTTTGAATTTTTTTAAAGCACCTGAAGTATTTCTGATGTGGGCAGTTAAGAACAAAAATTTTTTTAAACTATTGACCCAGGTGATATTCAACTCCTTTAAAAGTTTAAAAAAAAGTAATCTAATTATAGCAGTATAAATGTTTAGTGTTACAAGGAATGAACTGTATCAACAAGATGAAAATTAATGGTGGTGAGTGTGAAAGTCCTGTGAACTCTAGTCATATCAATGCTAGCTGTGAACTTATAGGTTTAAAAATGACTCAAAAAAATAAAAAGAGAGTAACAGCAAGAGTATGAGGTCTGAACACAAATGCCTGGGTTAAAAAATGAGCTTTGCTACAATGAACTAAGTGCTTTTGAGCACATGACTTGCTCTTTGATCTTATTCAATATCCTCATCTCAAAGTTGCTTTAGGATCAAAGAGAAAACTCTAAGGAACTTTTTGCACTATCAAGCAACAACAATGTGATAACTAAAGCTCAAAAAGTGAAATAGTCAGTGGTTATAAATAAGAATTCAAGAATAAGATATAAAGTTGCCATTAGTGATAGCAGCCTGAAAAAGTAAGAAGACAACTACAGTAAAGTATAAAAACCTAGATACTTCCATTTCAGACAGCATGTGGAAATTAAATTAAATTTAATAATCAAATATTAATAATCAAACATTTCTAATACAAAAATCTTAAATGTTTTACTTCCATGGTTTCTTTCCAATAAGTGTTCATATTATATTCCTCCTTCTTGTTCTTAAAAAAATAGCTGGGGCCCTCCCTGGTGGCGCAGCAGGTTAAAGCACAGCACTAAGAAGTCAAAGCCACTTCAGCATGAGTTCAATCCCCACCTGCCCCGGAGGTGACCACATGGCGTGGCAGACCTCTCCTGACCCGCCCGCTGCTCCCCTCAGCAGTGTACTTCGTCGATCTGCCTGTTCTGCTCCCCACTCTGTCTCTGGTGAATCCTCTCACCCTCTGCATCTCTGGCCTGTACCCCAGTTCTGTATGAATAAATAAATAAATCTTTAAAAAAAAAAATAGCTGGTTTTGGGGCTTTCCCTGGTGGCGCAGCAGCTTAAAGCACAGCACTAAGAAGCTAAAGCCACTTCAGCATGAGTTTGATCCCTGCCTGCCCCGGAGGTGATCCATAAGGTACGGCAGACCTATCTGGACCAGCCTGCTGCTCCCCTCAGCAGTGTACTTCATCAATATCTCTGGTGAATCCTCTCATGACCCTGTACCTCTGGCCTGTATGCACTAATAAATAAAACTTAAAAAAAAAAAAAAAAAGTTGGTTTTGAAACACTTCACTTAAAATTAAAAAATCTTAACTCATGCTAAGATACATGCCAAAAACTTAAGAATATAAGTGAATGAAAATGTCAACATATCACAAGATGTTAATTATTTTATCTTTACAATTAGTAAAAAAAAAATAGTTGCTTATATTTGCAAAGGTTAACGTTACTCACAGGTCTTTCATTAGGATCAATGAAAAATATTTTAATGATAATTTCAAATTCACCCCATCCTGTTTCAGTAATTTCATATGGAGGCTTAGTAACAACTGAAGAGAAAAGAAAAATAAAACAACTGTTAATTACTGATTCAGTTTCCTAGCTGTTTTCAAATTTATGAATTATGAATTAAAAAATTCTACTATACCTCTTAAAGGATTGCCATAGCTTTCATGTAATTTAAATTGGATTTTCTTCACATATGCTGACATATCCTAAAATACAGAGGAATTAGTTCTGCCATCTACATACTCAAACTAGAAGCAAAATACACTGAGAATATGTGCCTAATTTTATAATACACACTTCCCTTCAAATTTTATGGAATCAAATTTTCTTAACATAAATTAGGGCCCTCCCTGGTGGTGCAACAGGTTAAAGTACAACACCATGAAGCTCTCAGCAGCCCTCACCATACATTTGATCCCTAGCCAGGGAGGTAACCGGTTGACTTCTCCTGACTTGCCCACAGCTCCCCTCAGCAGAGTACTTCATTGATCTGCCTGTTCTGCTCCCTGCTCTGCCTCTGGTGAATCCTCTCACCACTTCTGCATCTCTGGCCTATACCCCAGTTCTGTATGCATAAATAAATCTTTAAAAAACAACATAAAACTATTATAATAAAACAAACAAACAACACATGAAAGAATTAATTGGCTTCCTTTGTTTTTAAAATAAATTATAGGGCTTTTCTTGGGGATGGTGACTTTAAATTACAGAAAAATGAAAAACAGAAATAACACTTAATAGTAATGTTTATTAGTCATATATGAGTTTTTATGTGCTTATCCACATATTATTTTTAAAAACTGGGGTCATACTTTAATGGCATCTTAACATCTGATTTTATCACTTAACACTGAGAATTTTTTTTCTGAGACAGATTTTCATAAGCACCTTTGAAAACTATCTCCAGAATACTTACATTCACTTCACAAATGTGAATTACTACAAATATTGTGGCACCAGATGCTATTTTATAGTAAAGCATAGGGTCCTGCCTAAAGGATCTTGCTATAGAGTAGAGAGACAAGAAAATTAACATTTCAATGTAACCTGTAAATGAGGGCATTAGGTACAGGAACATGGGAAGTGCCCTTAACTTTGTCTGTGGAGACAAGAAGGTAAGTGGGAAAAAACACACTTGAAGTAAGACCTAAGGAGACAAAGGGAATGGAATGGGTGGGAAGGAATGAATGAGAAGACTTAAGACTGTTCCTTAGAGAAATTGAAGTTGATTTAGTAATCGAAGTAAATCAGGCAAACACAGGATAATAGTACAGAGACAGAATAAGTAAAGATCTTGGCAGGTTTTCTGGCTTTAACTTACTCACTAGGGCAATAGATAATCATTGACAGGTCTTTAAAAAAATAATAGCTTGGCCCTTCCTGGTGGCGCAAAGGGTTAGGATGCAGCACTGCAAGCTGGCCATAGCTGCTTCAGCGTAATGAGTTCCATCCCTGGCCCCAGAGGTGATCCACAAGGCGCAGCAAACCTCTGGTCTCACCCACTGCTCCCCTCAGCAGTGTACTTTGTCAATCTGCCTGTCCTGCTCCCACTCTGTCTCTGGTGAATCCTCTCACTCTGCTGCACCTCTGGCCTGTAACCCAGTTCTGTATTGCATAAATATTAAAATAAAAAATAACAGCTTATTTGAGATATATTTCACACATCACATATTTCACACATTTAATGTGTATCATCAGATAATGGTTTTTTAGTAATTCAGAGCTGTACAACAGTCATAATCTCATAATCAAAATGAACACTTTTGTCACACAAAAAGAAACCACACACCTACCAGCACTGTATTGTCTCTTACTGCCACACCCCCAACCTGGTAACCACAAATCTATTTTCTGTATCAATGCATAACAAAGTGGTCCCCAAGGAAAGGGAAGATTCCAGGGCCTTCCCCCTCCCAGGATAGGATGAAGCTGAGAAAGGAGGAGGGAGAGCCAGAAGACCTGGAGGAGGCGCATGGAACAGAGACATGTGAAGAAGCTGTGTTTGCTTTTTGGTCCTGGACTAGCTGGAACAGATTTGGGTGAGAGATCCATGGGGAAGTTAACTGTGGCAGTGTTTATCTTGTCTGGCTATTTCTGACCCTCTTCTGTCTGACTCTACCAGCAGGGTACTTTATAAAGGTGCTTTATACTTATAGCAGGTTCTTAGGCCTCAATGGCACTTCTTTGGGCCAATCCTGTTTGGCTGGGTTATCCACAGGGCAACTTTGGGTGCTTGATTTGGAAGCTTTATTTTTCCTTTTCTTTGTTGCATGCTAATTGTATTAAAGTTCCTTTCCAGGTAGAAGCAGTCTGAGTCTCCTTGGAGCACCACCACTCTTGACACTGAGGTGCCATGCCATTGTGATGCTATGTAGAAGCCAGAGCTACACTTCCCTCAAGGTCCCTCCGGCCACCCAGGAACCTCAGATGAGCGCTGCGCCAGGCCAGCACCTGCAGCAGCTCCCCTATCTGCTGTTGGCACATCTGCTACTGCTCCCTGCCAGCCAGGCCTGATGGCCCAGATTGCAACCACTGCAGCAGGTGTGGCTGTGGGCTCTGATGCTGGGCACATGCTAGTCCATGTGCCCAGCTAGTCCATGGTTTCGATGGAGAAAGTAATGCTGAGCCCTCAAAGCCTGACATCACTCACCAGGAACCTCAGGGAACCCAGCCAGCATACCAGCATAGCGTTTGGCCCATGCCACTGTGAGATAAAGCAGGTTTTAGAGGCCCAGAACCAGGGTGACCTCAATTTTGTGAAGGTTTCAGTGAGGTGCTCAAACTGTGCAGATTTGAAAATGTGTTAGTCTAATCAAGAAGTTCACATTGAGGACATGGAAAATTACTTCTCATGACCAAGTTAATTTAACATAAAATGACATAAATGACATGAAATGCAAAGGGTAAAGCTACCAGCTAAACCTATCATTAAGGGCTTCACTGCAGTGGAAGAAGGTGTGGTCATAAGTTCACTGAGATGGTACTGAGAGGTTGGGGCTCCACAAAAATGTTTGTATGACTTCCTTAAATCTGCTTTTGTGGAGTGATTCTTTGTAATTAAAGTGATTTTCTTCAAAAATAAATAAAGTTCCTTTCCATTAAAGGTCTTATGCATTAGAGATGTTTTGTCTTGATATGGCTGATGGAGGAATCTAGATAAAGTCGGCAGGTCTGAGTTTCTGGAATGGCACTCCCTCTCTCCTATAACCAATGGATTTGCCTATTCGGGTCACTTTATAAGAATAGAATTATATAATATGTGGCCTTCTGTTCTGGCTTCTTTCATTTACCATGTTTCCAAAGTTCTTCCATGCAGCAGTATCATGTATCAGTACTTTCTTTTTATTGCCTAATAATATTCTACTGTATGTATATACAACCTGTTATTTATCCAGTCATCAGTTCATAGATATTTGGGCTGTCTCCACTTTTTAGCTTTTATGCATAATGTCTCTAGAAATATTCATAGACCAATTTTTGTATGGACTTCGAAGAATTTTAAGTAGAATAGTTTATTGAATGAATAAGTGTCTATCTGAATGCCTACTAAGTAATGGCTGCATGCCACACACTAGATGCTTAGCAGCTAAAATTACCAGCAGTCTGATTATGTAGAAATGCCTTTCATTTTCTCTGAAATAGTCTTATTACCAAATTATCATTTAAAAAGTATTAACTGCTTTTCCTGAAACACCTAATTCTATGCTCACTGAAAACATGAATTTTGGAAGATGTTAGTATTTACGACATAGCTCTTGCTACTGTAATTTAATTAGAAAATATTTCTAGAACATTGACTTCTATTAAGAACTATGTGAAGATAATAGTTATTCTTGCAGCTTTTTGCAAAAAGTACCTATTTTATAATTAGACAGTTACTATAAAAATACTCTATGGTGGTGCAACAGGTTAGGAAGAAGCACTGAAAGCTAACCACAGCCGCTTCAGTGTAAGTTTGATGCTCTGCCCTGGAGGTGATCCATACAGCGCAGCAGACCTCTCCTATCTCCCCTGCCGCTCCCCTCAGCAGTGTACATCGTCTGTCTGCCTGTTCTGCTCCCCACTCTGTCTATGGTCAATCCTCTCACCGCCCTGAACCTCTGGCCTGTTCCAGTTCTGTATGCATAAATAAATAAATAAACATATAAAAATACATAGAGCCTCCTTTGTGGCACAAGGGGTTGTCATAGCACTATGAAGCTGTCCACAGCCATTGCAGCATGAGTTTGATTTCCAGCCAGGGAGGTGACCCACATGGCACAGCAGACCTCTCCTATCTCACCCACTGCTCCCCTCAGCAATATTATTTCTGTTAATCTTCCTGTTCTGGTCCTCACTCTGTCTCTGGTAAATCCCCGTACCTCTGGCCTATATGCCAGTTCTTGTAGGCATAAATAAGTAAATCTTTAAAAAAATTACAATTCATCTTCAAGAAAAACAAATTTTAAAAAAATATAGGAAAAATTAGTGCCTACCTCATTTCTGTAGGGCTTTACATATACTGTCCACTGATGGGTGTGGCCATCCTCTTCTCTTTTCTTTCCAAAATATCGAGCAACATTACCATAAACTATTGGTTTAACAATAGTAACCCCCTAAAAGAGAAATAATTTAAACATCAACAATTATTGTCAGTACCCAATAGCAGAATGAGGATTTGGAAAATTTGTTTTAAGGAATGGCAGGTAGTCTAACAAATTAGAACTTACTTCTGAAACCATGACTATTAATTAGCAACCCAAAACCCGAGATATAAGAATATTGTATAATATACTAGAGACATTTTATGGGGGTGGAGTGGGGAATGGGATCAAAAACAGTAGGGGGAGGGAAATGCACTAGACTATGGTGATGGCACATGGGTGACTTGGTGATGGGAAGCCCAAGGGCATTACAATTGAGATGAAAAAAAAAACAAAATAATATAAAAATAAACTATTATATTATAAAAAAAGGAATATTGTATAAGAAGGGTTTTTTAGAAAATTGATTTAAATAAAAATGTTAATCACAATTGGACTAAAATAATGGTCAAGTGGCACTTAATGGTTGAAACTTGGTAAAAACTGGCGATGGGATGTTTTCTACATTAGTGCTTAGTTCTGAGATGTACATACATGTATCTCATCACATCTGGCAAATATAAAGACAGTTGAGAATTGATAGATTATGATGGAAAGGAGGAAGAAATTGCTTTTCTTTTTAAAAGATTTATTTATGCATACTAGAACTGGGGTACAGGCCAGAGGTGTAGGGGGTGAGAGGATTCACCAGAGACAGAATGGGGAGCACAACAGGCAGACTGACTGAAATACACTGATGCGGGGAGCAGCAGGCGAGACAGCAGAGGTCTGTGCAACCATATGGGTCACCTTCCTGGCCAGCGAATGAATTGGTGCTGCAGTAGCTGTGGATAGCTTCATAATGCTGCCCTTTAACCCTTTGCGCCATCAGGGAGGGCCCAGGAGAGAAAAATTTTAAGTGAGGAGAAAATGTGGGATGTTGCCTATGAACCGGAAATCAGTTTTTCCTGAATGTATCTGAAAGGAGCCTCCCTGTACTATGAGGTCATTCACAGCCAGTGCAGCACAAGTTAGATCCCTGGCCAGGGTGCCAACCTACATGGCACAGCAGACCTCTTAGATCCACCTGTTCTGTTCCCCATTGTCTCTGGTGAATACTGTCACTCTCCACACCTCTGGCCTACATCTCAGTTCTTGCATGCATAAATAAGTATTTATTTTTAAAAAGGTATCTAAATAACAAAAAGCAGGATGTAGCACACATTATAAGTGCTGTGCCACTGCTGGTGGGAATGCAACCTAGTACAACCACTATGGGAAACTGGAGGTTTCTCAAACTGCTAAAAATGGAGCTTCCATGCCCTCCCTGGTGGCGCCGCGGGTTAAAGCACAGCACTAAGAAGCTAAAGCCACTTCTGCATGAGTTCAGTTCCTGCCTGCCCCGGAGGTGACCACATGGTGTGACAGACCTCTCCTGACCTGCCCGCTGCTCCTCTCAGCAGTGTACTTCGTCGATCTGACTGTTCTGCTCCCCACTCTGTCTCTGGTGAAGCCTCTCACCAACCCTGAGCCTCTGGCTTGTACCCCAGTTCTGTATGCACAAATAAATAAAAAAAAAAAATGGAGCTTCCTTATGACCCAGTAATCCCACTCTCTAGGTATCACCCAAAAGACACAAAAATACTGATTCAAAAAGACACCAGCACCCCCATGTTTACTGCTGATTTATTTACAACAGGAAAGACATGGAATCAAAACAAATGCCCAAAAGTAGATGACTGGACTAAAAAGATGTGGTACACATACACAATGGAATATTACTCAGCAATCAAAAAAGATAAACTCATGCCTTTTGCAGCAACATGGATAGAGCTGGAAGGGATTAGTGAAATAAGCCAGAAAGAAAAAGAAAAATACCAGATGGCTTCACTCATAGCAGAGCATAAAGGACCAAGGGGAAAAATAGTAATAATAATGAACAACTACATGCCTTAGACATTTTATGGGGAATGGGATCAAAAATTGTGGGGTGAGGAAGTGCACTGGACTATGGTGATGGCATACAGGTGATTTGGTGATGGGAAGCCCACGGGGATTACAGCTGAGATGGAAAAAGGCACAAAATGACGTAAAAATAAACTATTATATTATTAAAAAAAAAAAAAGCCCTGTGCCAATCTAATCAATAATGGGAAATGAACAAAATGAAGCATTTTTTCATTGTGACTGAATAAACAGCTGTTAGCTTGAAGTTAGGTCAGATGATAGAAAGCAGTTTATATAAAAACTGAAAAAAATTACAGAAATGTTATTGACACTTTTGTGGCAACCACAGATGGAGGCCTCAGTTTCAGGACATGACAGAATGAGTACAAGGAGCACTGACATGGTGAACATATAATCCAAGCCCTAGCTGCTACCTTCTTTCAAGAATTTGCAGAGTTCCTCAGTGGTAAAAAGGGGGAGTATTTATCAACAGACTGTACCTGGATGAAATTTATCTGAACTAAAAGAAGATGCCTACATTACATAACCATCAGCAAGGAGAAGTAATTGTAAGCTCTACTTGATTAACTCACACCCACTTTTAGTGGAAAAGTATTTGAGGACAGCAGGTACTAATCTCAAGCCACTTTGGACTTAAATTTTACAAAACAAACATAGATTACTGGTAGACAAAGTTCTGTAGCTTCTCTAAAATGTAGTATTTTAATCCTTTCTTCATAGTAGTTTCCTCAGTCTAAAATTTACCCCAAATTGAGTGAAACAAGTTTATGAAGCTTCTCATAGGAAGTACTTTTACTCATGTTTTTCCCTTCCACTCAATTTCAGCACCTTTTGAAATTTTCGAAGAACTCCCACCTTCACTATTAAACCACTGGTAAGATAGTTCGCTACAAAGTATAACTAAAATTATGTTAAAACAGCATAACTTGGCCCTCCCTGGTGGC